ATTATGGATGCTATGAAGATTTAGAAAAAAGTTGTGAACATTGTATGGAATTTTACAAAAGAGGTGTTTTTGAAAACGTTACATCATTTGTATCCCGATTAGAAAAATTATCTGACAATGTAGTTGAACTAGAAGATAATGAAACTAATGAATCTGATGGGGATGGTGATAGAGATGGTGAAGATGATAATTCAATTAATATAAACAAAGAACATATATGTAACTTGTTTTTAAATTTAAAAAATGAAATAAAAAATTGGTAGAATTTATCTGCAACAAATATTTAATTAATAAAAATAAAGAAAATAAAAAATTAGTAGAATTTATCTGTAATAAATATTTAATTAATAAAAATAGAGAAAATAAAAAATTGGTAGAATTTATCTGTAATAAATATTTAATTAATAAAATAGAGAAAATAATTATTGAAGTAATACATATTTAGAGGAAACTACCTTACTAATAAAGCTTCATGAGTATTGATGTTATCTTGATTAGATCATAATTAACCCTCCTACTCTCTTAATAATGTATCTAATTATATGGTGTTTTTTAAAGAAGTAATAATAAAAAATAAATAAAAAGATATCTCTTGAAAAGGTAAAAACTACTATATGAGTTAAGTTGCTTCTAGTAAATCTTTTTGGATATTGACGTTATCTTGATTAGATTGTAATTAACCATGCTCCTCTCTTGATTTAATAACTAGTTACAAAGTTTATTTAAAAATTATATCACGAAAAAAAAATTTGTTTATTGAAAACGTGACTTTGCATATGAATTTTATTATAAAATTATTTCGTTGCACAGTATAATTTTGAGATCGCCACAAAGTGACAAATGTGATAAAACAAAATTCCACTATGCTAGGAATAGTAGACAAAAAATTTATATTCCAATAAAAAAATGAACGAAGGTATTTTTTCTTACACAGAAAATAACTGTTATAAAAAATATGTAGTAGTAGTAAAAGGATTTTTACATTGTAATTTAATATTGCTTTATAATAAAATAATTAGCTAAATTCTATAAAGGTAAATAAATATTTCACAAAATAAAATTTATTAAAACATCATCTAATTAAATAAATTTATTTCTTTATAATAACCAGGGAGTAAGTATTATATTATAAATCAACTTTTACAACACAAAATAAACTTTATCTTCAACATCATCTAATTAAATAAATTTATTTTTTATTTATAGACAGTAAGTATTATATTATAAATCAACTTTTACAACACAAAATAAAACATCATCTAATTAAATAATTTATTTTTTATTTCTTTATAATAACCAGCATGTAAGCATTATATTATAATATTATAAAGCAACTTTTTACAAATTAAATTTTATTAAAACATCATCTAATTAAATAAATACAATTTTTACTTTTTTTATAACCAGATTGTAAGTATTATGCTTTTATATATAACATAAAATAAATTTTATTAAAACATCAACTAAATAAATTTATTTTTATTTTTTTTGCAATAACCAGCTGGTAAGCATTTTATTGTATTATAAATCAATTTTTATAAATTTTATATCTAATCAATAAGTTTGTTTTTTATTATAATAACCAGCTGGTAAGTAATATATTATAAATTAACACAAAAATAAATTTTATTAAAACATTGTCTAATAATACATTTTTATAATGATCAGGAAGTAAGTATCATATCATAAATTTTTACAAATAATTTTTATTAAAACATCAACTAATTAATAAATTTATTTTTCTTTATGATAACTAGCATGTAAGTAATTTTTACAGGATAAAATAAATTTTTCATAGCATCATCTAATTAAATATTTCTTATTTCTTCATAATAACAGCTGGTAAATGTTATGTAATATTATATATAAAATAACTTTTATAATTTTATCAAAACCATGTCTAAATATATAAATTTATTTTCTATGTATTATAATAATTATGACTGAAGGTAAAATAATTTATAAATTTAATTTTTTTATAACTTAATTAAGTTGAAAAATAAATTTATTTTGTTTTTATGAAATAATAAGATAACACTAAGGAGTTTAAAAAAGGGAAAAAAGAATATGGAACCTGTTCTGTTTGTAGAAGATATAATACTAATTACCAGTGGTGTCAATCATGTGATCCCAAATTGTTAGCTCAAAGTTGGACTAGCAGTGGTAATAAAAAATTAGATGAAATAATCAGAAATACACAGCTTGAAGCAAAAGGATTTGATAGTTATCATTACATTGAGTGGATTCCTTATGACCAACTCACAGTTAAAGAAGCAATAGGTGAAGGTGGTTTTGCAACTGTGCATAAGTGTGATTGGTCAAATGGTCCTAGATATGTTTACAAAAATACAAGATATTATCAAAGTGGTGGTCAAATTAAGTTGAAAAATAAATTTATTTTGTTTTTATGAAATAATAAGATAACACTAAGGAGTTTAAAAAAGGGAAAAAAGAATATGGAACCTGTTCTGTTTGTAGAAGATATAATACTAATTACCAGTGGTGTCAATCATGTGATCCCAAATTGTTAGCTCAAAGTTGGACTAGCAGTGGTAATAAAAAATTAGATGAAATAATCAGAAATACACAGCTTGAAGCAAAAGGATTTGATAGTTATCATTACCTTGAGTGGATTCCTTATGACCAACTCACAGTTAAAGAAGCAATAGGTGAAGGTGGTTTTGCAACTGTGCATAAGTGTAATTGGTCAAATGGTCCTAGATATGTTTACAAAAATACAAGATATTATTGCAATGGTGGTCATGTAGCATTAAAAAAGGTTAAAAATTCTCAAGACATTTCTGAAGAGTTTTTAAAAGAGGTAAATAATTTGATATAATTTGACAATTAATGATTTTTAAATAATATATTAATTTTTTATTAATTTTCATAAAGCTTCAAAATCACATTAAATTTATAGGACCTCATCAAATGGGTATTGTTAATATTTATGGTATTTCACAAGATCCAAATACAAAAGAATATGTTCTCATAATGAGATATGCAGACCAAGGAGATTACAGGAAATATTTAAAATCAAATTGTAGAAATTGGAATGACAGAATCACAATACTTTATGACATCATTTCAAGTTTAAACACATTTCACCAAGAAAAACTTACACATGGTGATCTTCACAGTGGTAATATTTTATATTTTAATTATTTATCCCAGGCAATGATTACAGATTTAGGGTTATCAGGCTCAGCTGATCAAGAAACATCAAATGAAAGTAAAAACTATATATTTGGAGTACTACCATATGTTGCACCAGAGGTATTAAATAAGAAACCTTATACACAAAAATCAGACATTTATAGCTTTGGGATTTTAATGTCAGAAACATCAACACATCAACAGCCATTCAAAGATCAACCACATGATCTAGATCTTGCACTGAAGATTTGTGGTGGCTTAAGGCCTAGTTTTTCAGATAACACTCCAGAATGTTATATCAGGTTAGCATACAAATGCATGGATGCTGATCCTGAAAAAAGACCAACATCAGATGAAATTTTAAAAATTATTGCTTTTTGGAAAGATGCAGTTGGCACAATTGGTATCAATGAAATCCTAAAACACAAACTTAATTATTATAAATTAAAAGAAATAAGAAAAATATTTGAGGAAGAAGATCAAAAACCTTTCAACCCTTCAACAATTACAGCAACTGCTCATTCAAATGCAGTTTATACAAGTAGATTATTGAATTTTACAAATCTTTCTCAACCTGTAAATTCCAATAAAGTTACAATCATTAGTAACAATAGTGGTAATTATCTAATTTATTGTTACACATTTAATCTTAATTATTTATTATTAATAATATATTAAATTATAAATTAACTATTCCAGATTCTAAACAAATTTAATTAGATTTGTAAATAAATTTAATTTATCTGATCTGATTATTGAAAATTTCATCTAGTCCCTTAGGAAGTGCTACATGGTGAACCTAGGGATGGGAAATTGCATGAAAATTTCAAACTTCATGCGCATGATGTGCACTGCATCTGCCGATCTTTTTTATTTTTTAAAAAAAAATTTATTATTATTATTAAAAAAACCAAAACAGATTTAATTACTAATATTAGTCACTGATTCAGATGTATATACATCACTATCATCATTTTCACTTCACTAACAT